TCCCCGCTGCCGGGCAGCGGTGGGGGCGGCGCGGTTACCCCTCCCTGCGGGCCTGCCGCAGAGCCCTTCGTGCGGGTAGGGAACGAGCTGAATAATTGATAAGGTGTCTGCTGGTCGTTAGAAATAGATCGTGTGTCGTGCTTAGAGGTCATCGCGGCCCCCAGTATTGGTGGTAAATAACCGCGTTTTCAAGTAAGATGCCTAAATCCAACCTGAGCTTACTTCAGCCCTCCTGGATTATTGGTGGGTTGTCAGTTCAAAGCCATTTCCTTCCTGGGTAGGCTGGAGGTGGTAGTGGTGCTTGTTGTGTCTAGAGTCTGAACAATGAAAAAATGCTAAAATGATTTAATGCTAAAGGATTCATTATCGCAATAAATGTCACAAGTGGAAAGGTGGTGCATTTCCATTACCTTTGCAGACAAATTTCAGTTGGGAGGAAGGGAAAAAATGACTATATATGCTTTTGTAACCTAATTGGGGTAGTTGACTGTGAGGAGAGCTTCTAAATAATTTCATTTAATTCTTTCCCATCTAGCTAAACATCCAGAGATAAAAGCATTGATGAAGCCAGACTACAACTTGATCTGGGTGGTTGTGCTGATGGTTCTTGCGCAGTTGACTGCATTTTATCTAGTTAAAGACTTGGACTGGAAATGGGTAATCTTCTGGGCATATGTTTTTGGAAGCTGTATTAGCCACTCCATGACTTTGGCCATTCATGAGATCTCTCACAATAGTGCTTTTGGCAACAGCAAAGCAATGTGGAATCGATGGTTTGGAATATTTGCCAACCTCCCTCTTGGTCTCCCGTACTCCATATCCTTCAAGAGATACCACATGGATCATCATCGTTACTTAGGAGGTGATGGAATCGATGTGGACATTCCTACCAACTTTGAAGGCTGGTTTTTCTGCACCCGTTTTAGGAAGTTCATATGGATTGTTCTTCAGCCTTTTTTCTATGCGATTAGACCTCTCTGCATCAATCCCAAACCGATTACTCGACTTGAAATAATCAATTTGTTGGCTCAGTTTTCCTTTGATATTGTGATATATTACTTATGGGGAGTCAAATCCACTTTTTACATGCTTGCTGGTTCAGTACTTGGACTTGGGTTGCACCCAATTTCAGGACACTTCATAGCTGAACATTACATGTTTTTAAAAGGACATGAGACTTATTCCTACTATGGGCCACTTAATTTGCTCACTTTTAATGTTGGCTATCACAATGAACATCATGATTTCCCCAATATTCCTGGCAAGAGCCTTCCACTGGTAAGTTTATTTCCAGGGTTATTACTTTTTCTTAAAATAAACCTTACTTTAAGTTGAAAAATCAGGTAGAACACTGATAGAAGAATGGAAGTTGGGAGATAAAAAAACAAACAAAAAACCCCCAACCAACCAAAAAATCACACCTGAGAACAATTCCTAAGTTGGGTGATGAAGATGGTAATTACTTGCCATTTTAGTGGTATCCTGAACAAGCTTCTGGTATGCTGGCTGCTCAGGCCTCTTCCATAAAAGGAGAGGGGAGGAAACGCATGTCTTGCGCTTTGCACTAACTTTAGTTTTCTGTAATTACAACCAGCCTTCTGATTTCTTCAGTTTGGAAGTATGCAGGAAACTAGTTAAGAAGTTGCAAATAACTTCAGAGATTTGTTGGCTCTGTCCTTGAAACCTTAAGGACAGTATTGTAATGCATGCTTATTATTCAGTCTCTTCTACCACTGACATTCTCAGGTGGGGAAAAGAGAGGGTTTGAGGTACTGCTAATGTTTGTTGTACTGTTGACAAATGTTTAATAGCTTTCTAGTTTGGAGCAGCTCAGTTTCCTCTAGTGAGAACCTTTGAACCTTGAGTAAGTATCAGCTGTACATTGACAGAATTAAGGCTTCAAAGCCAAGACTTAGACCTGTCACACCTGCCTGAGTAGCAGATGTGAATTTTCAAACTAGTTTCTCCTCACTTCAATCTCTGCTGGTTTCTTTTAAGCAGCAGCTTAATTCTCATTATATACATATTTTCCAATGGGAGCATAGGAACACAGGCTTCCAGGGTTACACCTAAAACTCATCTTCAGTGAAAAGTGTCTTTCATCAGACACTACATTTGCAAATTGACAGCAGCTGTGGTGTTGGTCTTGTAGCTTTGTTGTTGCACTTGGTAATAGGAAGACCTTATAAGCTTGTACCTTTGGTGGAGTCTAAACTTGATCGTTATTTCTGTTGTCAGTGGTGGAACTGTAGATGAAATAACTTCTCTAGCACTTTAGCAGGGCAGTTAAATTCTGTAATTGGTGTGTTGAGACTTTGTTTTTGTGGGTTTTCTTGTTTTTTCAAAAAGGACATGATGATTTCTTATTCATAGATTTAATCTTTCAAATACAGCTCAAGTTTGCTTTAACTCACCTTTGATACCTAGATCTGTGCTGGTAAACCAGTATTTCACTTCTTGCACCAGTACTTAAGTTGTAAATAAGGAATGGTTTTGGTTTTTTTTTTCAAGTATTTAACTGCAGAGGTAAATACCCGGCTCTGCTACAGGACTCTTAATCCCCTGCTCTGATAAGAAAACAAAGCCTTCTTTTAGAACAGCGTAGTTAATTTGATTGGACTGGACTCTGCTGTGTGCTAAAGATCACTGAAGTACTGAACACTTGATTCCAGCTGGGGTACTGGTGAGCTGAAAATAATTACTGTTGAATAAAAGTATACTGGCTAGATGCAGTATTCTATAGGTGTGAAGATGGATCAAAACGATCTTCAGCTCCAAGCCAGGCATGTAAATATCTTGGGTTTGATTATACAGATGAGTATTTTTCCTTCTGTCTAAAGCTATGGAATTTAGTGAAAAATCAGTTTTATTCTGTTCAGGTTTTCAAGGCTTTAGGTGGTTGGCCTTAAATATCAGTAAGGATATCTGACACTCCAGCTCTTAGTGGTCTGGTCATCATGTACATCTGAGAATAAACTCTTTGGAAGTGGTTTATATTCGTTCTGTAATGTCTGTCTTCAGAAACAAGATGTTCCTCAAAAATAGATATTTTTCTTCTGAGTGCTGAGGTTTGAAACTACATGTAAAAATAGCTGTGTTAAACATCTCTTCCTAGAATTTAACAACAGCCTTTTTAGTGATACTCGTGTATCTGAGTCATCAGTGAACTGAGTCACCCACTTCCACTAGCAACCAAACTGCTTTCTTTTGTCAGCTATGTCATTCCGTAGGTAGCACAGTGAACAGACTTCAGAGTTAGCAGAGTTTGTTCTGCTTAGCTTCAATGTTAAAGTTTCACATGAAGTCTATTTAACAACCAGGGAGTTGCTTTTTCCTTCAAGAAACTTTCACATTGTGGCATTTGTAGCCTTTCCTGTAGAATCTCCCATCTAAAATTAAACTTGTAGTGCTCTGCATTACGTTACAGGTTGAGGATTGTAAAGTTGGTGCTAATATAGTAAATAAACCTTGTATCTCTTCTTTAGGTGAAGAAAATAGCAGCTGAATACTATGACAACCTGCCACAATATAACTCTTGGATAAAAGTACTGTATGACTTCGTGATGGATGACACAATCAGCCCATATTCACGCATGAAAAGGCAATTAAAGGGTGAAGTGAAGCAAGATTAAACTTCTGGCAACCAAAAAACTTTGAAATGTCTGCTTGCTTTAAAAGTGGCTGGTATAAGTAAGGTCTCTTGCTAAAGCTGTTCACCAGGGTCCTGAATTAAGATCTACAGCAACACAGCAATGCATCCTTAAGGATTTTGTAGCAGACTCCTACCAGCTATAACATTCCTTGCAGTCCTCAGATTCATTGGTTTAATGTGTCTATGTTTGCCTAAGGATCAGTGTTATATACGCATAATGCTAAATCACTTTGTTACAGAATTTACTTTGGCAGGTGTTAAATCTATATAAAATATCTGTCTGACTCTTCAATGTTTTAAAAGTTCTCAATGTAGTACACTGCCCACAACATGCTATTTAGATGACTGTAGTGTTAAAATGCTGTACTTGCCTATTAATTCTAAACTAACATGATCTGTTAACTTAAACCTTCTGTTGAACCTGTTTCCTAACTTATGGATGGAAGAACTAAATTTGCACAGAAATGTTAAGTCTGCTTTTGTTAAAATATGTAACATGTCATTTGAAGCACTGCTTTAAAGTTCTACCTTTTCTACTGAAAGTACCTTAAAGGAGCAATCTATCAGAATGAAACTGGCATCTTCGAGATGGTTTGTGTGACTTCTTTGTAGAAAGGTAGGGAATTCACGGGTATTGCCAGCTTTGTGGGTCCCCGCCTACTGCCTGAGATGCTTGTGTTAGCATGTAGCTTGAGCAGCTAACACTTAGAATTGTATTGTGCAAGCCACTGATTAGGTTTTCTCATGTTGGAAAAATCTTCTTACAGTTTGGGGTTTTTCTGATCTGCAAAGAAAAATGATTAGGCTTGTCCTAATTGGTTCTGCTGTTACCAGAATGCTCAATCTGTACTTTCATTTGTTTGGAAACTTGGCTTGTATGGAAAACTGAATCAGTTGAGGCTGATACTGATCTGGCAAACAAGGGTAGCTACAACCACTGACAACTCTACCTATTAAGCATATTAGTCATTTGTGTAAACAGAAAGGTGTTGCTAAATGATCTTTCTTGTTGTCCCCCCACTGCCCCAACCTACAGTACCCTACATAAACACTTGTTTTTCTTACATATTAAAATGTGGTGAGAGCACAGGTGGTGATACCAAATTTCCTGCTTAAGAAGTTTTTAAATTGGGAACAGAGAAGGGATAGACTTGCTGAACACTGAAGAATCCCTACATACCTCAGCACAGTATATTTGCCTTCTGTCATATAATGCATTGATGGCCTTAAGCTGTCAAAGATGGCTACAAATCACCTTTCAATATCAAATGGTGATCCTATGGTATGTTCTTCACTTATCTGAAATACAATATCTGATGAAGGTAGAGGTCTTAGCTGCTCTCCACACTGGTCTGCTGTGTGTAACTTCATTTTTAGATGCTGTCAACTCCTGCATCTTGGTGTTTTGGTTTTTTGTTTGTTTGGGTTTTTATGTAACTTCATTTTTAGATGCTGTCCACTCCTGCATCTTGGTGTTTTGGTTTTTTTGTTTGTTTGGATTTTTTTGTCCTGGAAGAAGCTGAGTGCCTGAGAAGAATGTGTGGTACATCTTAACCCTTGCTTGATTGCAGTCCTGTTTTTAATGTGTGTTTGGTTTAAGTGTGGGCCATTATCTGTGGTAAGTGATAGAAATGGTATGAAAGTGTGCCAACCACTTACAAAGTGATTTCATTATGATGCCAGTAACATGTCAGCTAGCCAGCATGTTGCTCAGGGTAGAGTGTAATGTCAAAATATACTTTATCCAGTATTTTTACATGTAATTAAAAAGCAAAGATTAAAGTAATATTGGGTGAATTTTTGACCGGTTGCCTTATGCTGAAGGACTTAAGCTTTAGAGAAACTTGGTATTTTTAAAGCAGATGCTCTTCTATTGAGTGGTGGTATAGATGAACTGTAGAGAATCATTGCCTTTCCTTTCTACTCGGAAGAAAACTGACTCTTGTTGAAAGACTCGGCTTAACAAGTTGTGAACCAGTTTCTTTTTAAGCCACTTCTGCATGACCGCTCAATTTAAGAAGTGAAAGGTGGAATTAAATCTCTTCAGTGTAGATGGCTTACCATAGCTGGATGAAGGATGTGAAGTGTCTTCGAAAGTGTTATGGCTGAAAGCTAAAGTTTAAGAAGTTCAGTTATCCTGATGATAATGTAGATGACAGATGAATGATAGATGAATACTTAAGATAACCCGAGTTCGAAGTAAAAATTTTATACTTAGGCTTAGTTATCTACTTCATGGAATCACTGATGCCCCTTACTGTCCTCCCAGTGGGCAGTGCAAGTATGAATTCCTGCTTTTAAACAGGACTGAAGTTGCCAGGTCTTGTATAAAATTGCAGATTTTGCTTTAAAGCATTCTGACTTTGATCTTCCCTTCCAACGCTGATTATAAATACACTATTTTCGCTTTAAGAGCTGTAGAATAGCTGGAAATTCTGGGGGAGATACCTATGCTTGCAGTAATCTTTCTGAAAGATCTGCTACTGGCTACTTACTGGAGAACACTTACTGGACTAGGTTAATCTGAGCCAGTGAGACTTAAGTTTGGATCTAAACCATGGTCTGATTCTTGCAAGCCTTGGTAACTACCATTCTCGGGTATATAATTCCTGTGTAATACACAAGAGACCTTGGCATCTAACTTCGGTAGTGGGGATTGTGTCAGAAGCAGATCATCTGAAAGTTAACCTATATTGCAGCATAGTTTCATCCCTAAAAAAACACCCCACAAACGGTTAGAAGCATTTCTGAACCACTAGTAAAAGGAATTAGGATCAGCTGGGCTACTTTGAAATATTCTAAATGAATAACTAGTTTTCTGCAGTCATCATGTGGTGTTTAGTCCAAAGGCATGGCACAGAAATAAGAAACATTAAATTTTTTCTAAATACATAGGAACCATCTAGTTATTGTTTTTAAGGAATTAAGTCATTTTCATTAATGCTTTTAAAATATATATGGCAGAAACAGGTTTGTATAATTTTTGAAATATTGTCTCTGAAAGTTGGAGGGAGCTTTGATGAACCAGTGAAGAACAAATTAAACCTAAAGAGCATTAAGAACCCTGACAGTTAACCTAATTATTTTTTTTATAAATCCATTCAAATGGAATGAGTTAACAAGCATGTAGACAGGCCAAAGTTAGGATTTGTTCCTTTTTGTGTAACTAAAGCATCTTACTAGCTTGTCAGTTTGGCAAACCTCTCCTTTATGTGAAATCAGCCAGGAGTTTCACTGTCAAAATACAGCCGACTTTGGGTCAGCTGTGTTAAACATGTCATCCGAGTATTTTAGCTGCAGTTAAATTGTGCAGAGCTCTGAATTGCCTTCAGGGCTTTCGGGGCAACATACAGTTTTCAGAATAAACTGCCCTGCATGGCTTTTAACACCCCCCCAGTTATTTGAAGCTGCTTAAGTGGAATAAGTAATCCGTCCTGGAATCTGATTGTGCTAGGCATGACTTTTCTCACAGGACAGGCATGGGTGTATTCCTCTTTCGAAACAGCCCTTGCCTCTGGCATTCTTGTTTTGCTGTTGAACCTGTCTGCTCCACAACAGTGGCCAATTAATACGGGTTAAGTGGGTGCATCTTTCTGGCTACAGAGCTCCATACTTTCAGATTCAGGGCAAGATTTCTTACTTGGAACCAGAGGTCAGTTGAAAGGTAGTTAAGACTTTTGGTTCTGTGTCTCAGCATTCTTCTGGGTAAGTCTTTAAATGTAGCCAGCAAGCATACAACATGTACTGTAGAGTCTACAGATGTTGAGCAATGGATCTATTCTAGGTAAGGGGACACTTAGATAATGTGCTTGGTGGTTCACCTCTGCCTCCTTGGCATTTATTCTTTTATCAGATGAAGTGGCATGCCATGGTAAACTTGAAGCTGTTTGTTCCTTATTTAATGATGAGGTGCAACAGCCATAATGTCAGTGCTGTAGATTGCAGGCTGCCACACTAATCCTGTTAGACAAACAACAGGAGAAAAGTTGCTTTCGGGTAGTAAGCTTGCATGATAAAGTGGTCCGAGACAGTTTTTGGAAAGCATACTCCTCTGTAACTTGAAAGTCTCAAAGGACTTAAGGCAAAGCAAGTTCTGCTGTTTTGGCTCGCAATGGTGAAGCACAGGACCCACTTTTCGGTCTGCCAAGATAGCTTCTGCAAGGTTCTAGGAAAACGAATCTGACAAAAAGGTGTCGAAATCGTGTAGATAATGCCTTTCGCAACCTGCAACTCTACTTATGCAATTATCTCTTCTCAATGAAAGCTTCTATTTCACAAGCAAGCCTGCAGTTCTATATAAGACTTTAGTGAGGACAAAGATGTGGGAAAAGTTTCATATTGAGCCAAGAATGAAGACAGCTTTTTTTTTTCCCTGCTGCTGATAGTTCCCTGCACTGCCTCTGACCCCTATCCATGCTTCAGTTAGCATCTAATATGCTCTGGAGTGGAATCATCATTGTGACTTAGCTATATGGCTAGCCTCAGGAAAAGGGGGAGAAGAATGGCATGATGAACAATTTCTTGATCTTGTCACAGCAGAAACAAGATGACTAGAGGGAAAATCTCCTCCAGGCATGTCTGCTCGGAGGGGCAGTAGCTGCATATGCAGAATGAAGTAATGGTCTCTGTATTGCCTGAAAAGGTTTGTTCCTTAAAGCAACTCCCATTTTCTGCATACAAGAGACCTTGCATTTTATTTCTTACCAAGTTGGTTTTTTTAGTGGTAAGTACTATAGCCTAAGAAGAATTTCCCACAAGAAAAAGTGGCCGTGTGGGTGCAGCACTACCTTGTGTGAACAGTCCAATAGAGTTCAGTTGCCTACCGATCTGCTCCTTGACGCACGTGTAGCCCAGACAAGGTAAGCAAACAGGATAAGGACACTTGACTGATCTGACTTTTTCTGCCTTTTAACTTAGAGATTTTCTTGTAAATTCAAACCCTCCTGCACCCCACTTCCTCTTCCACTATCATATGTTAAGAAGAATGATCATCAGACACCTTGTATATTAAACATATGTTTTGTGTTGGAACTCTTGACAAACTATATTGTTACTACTACTTGTAGTAACAACAGTATTACTATTCTACTTCAATAGTATTTCCTCCTTAGTCTTGCCTTGCAAGTCCTACCTTGCTCTCTTGCTCTAGATATATGTACACAGGAGTAATACCATCATAAGAGGAAAGGAGGAGAAAATTCTTAGGTGAATGTGCTGGGGCTTGAGGACTTTATGCCTCCATAAACTCATCAACTGCAGCTATCCTTAAGTATGGTAGCAGGATTTTCTTCTCTATATCCATAAAGGAGAAATCATTCATGTGGTTATTTTCAACTGAAAGAGTGGCTTGCTTGCCACTTTTTTTTTTCCAAGAAAGGATGACAAGTATTTCTAAATTCTATCACTGAAGTTGTATCACAGTTAGACCTTTTTTAATTCCTGATGTGAGTTTTTATATGTAGCTTGTTTTGAAACCAATACATGCCACAGGCAGGTAAAAACAGTGAAAGTCTTTAGAATTACCATATCTAAAGGTAGAATGGATGACAGTTTCAAAACTGGGATTTGAGGTATCATGCAATGTTTT